TAGTATATATATTATACTATATATGTATAGTATATATATTATACTATATATGTATAGTATATATATTATACTATATATGTATAGTATATATATTATACTATATATATAGTATGTAGTACCTCTTTGCTACAGATGACCTATTTTTGCGTTAAATCGAAAACTTCCGCTGATTAATCGTCAAATAAGAAATTACAGGAATTTCATAAAATTATGTGTAGCAAATCAAATTGTTTAAGTATATCCAGACGCGAAGGTGTTAAACATATTTTATTATACTTAGTATTATTAGTAGTTATCAGCTCTGTGTTGTATTTTGTAAGGGAAGTCTCATTATAGGTACATATGTACATAGAATTACATATGGACTACGCTATTATCCCGATTTCGGGTATCCACGAAGACTTGTTCAGTGTCTTTTGAATTTGATTTCGAACATCGTCAATTGTACATCCATCGTCTGTGAACATGTTGCCAATCGTTACCTTTTGCGCTGCCAAGGTTACATAATAATTATAATTATATTTCTTTATAGTAATATATATTATATAATAGTTATATTTCATTATTAACATCTTCGCGTCGGAAGACTCATTATTGCACCAATTGAAACCTGCCCCTTGGCTACAGATAATGCATTAACCTGAAAGGGTTAGAATCGAACCCCCACGTATATGAGTTTTCATTTTTGAGATTGATATACAACATAACATCGTCAATAGTGGAATGGTTTGGGACATACCCCCTGGGGTAGAGTCATAGGGAAAAAAAAGGTTGGGTCAAGTATCGGTATTGTCCCTGATCCCTTCGACCCTAAACGAAGACAGAATTCCTCGTGTCTATTCACTCGCACTCCCGCAAATCCGTCCGCTTCGTTCCGTCGAAACCAAAATGATTTGGTTTGGACGGAATGGGGTCCACGGAATATCGTCCCGGATTTTACACAAACACTACTATGAGTTGGGTATTCGTGAATCTGTCCACAATCCTTATTTTCGGTTTCCGTCGTCATTTCGTAACGGTTTTTCAGAGAAACCGGCCTCATCGACTCAAATCACTCGTTCCGTCGACCATTTCGTCCGCCCTAAACGAACGGAATGTTCCGTGGCGATCTCGTTCAGAAAAACCAGGGCTTAAGAGAGAACTACAATACAAAAAATCTGAAGGAAAAAATAATCTTCGACACCAAGATAGGCAGACTGGCAGAAGAAGAGAGAATACCTTTGAACAGGATCGAAGACGTATTCAAGGAAAAGTACAAGGTTGTTGAAAATTACCCAACTTTCATATATACCGGTGGTGTAGCAAGATCCCTAACAAGGAATCCAACGGAGTCGGTATGATTATGAAAAAAGACAACGAAATACTGAGGAAAGGAATATCCATAAATGGTAAGTTTACCATATTTACCACTGAAATGATTGGTATCAATAAAGCCATTGACTGGTTCAACGAAGAAAATAACAAAGGGAACCTTTTTATAATAACTGACTCGATGTCTTCCATAACAGTTATCGAAAACCAGATGGAAAATACCAAAAATACAACAGATAACCCTTAGGTTCGAGACACGTGGAAAAAATTAAGATACATGGACAACGTAAAAACGATCATAGGATGGATTCCCAGTCATAGGGGCATAATAGGCAACGAACTGGCCGACGAACAAGCTAAAGAACAAACTTACAATCAATCCAACAGAAAATTAAAGATTCCAGCTAAAGAAATTATGGTAGAAATTAAACAAAAATTTTGGAATAAATTCAAAGAGAAAATGGAAGATATAGGAGAGATAAAAGGTAGGAAATTTTTCGAACAAATAGGTACGGAAATGAATAGAAAATTTTACAAACCGTGGTTCTATAAATTTAGGCACAACCTGGACAGGGAAACTGTAAGGGTTATCTCACGAATAAGAAGTAACCATTACAATTTGAAAGAGTCTCTAGCAAGAAAAGGCATCATAAGGGATCCCGAATGCGACTGTGGACAAGGGGTCGAGGATATAGACCACGTTATATTCGAATGCACCCTATATAACTGGGAAAGGGACTACATACATCAGAATCTCAGGAAGGAAATACTAAAGGTTGGAGAATCAATGTACGGACTAATAAGAATGAACAAAATCAAAATATACAAGGTATTGGTAGAATTCTTGAAAAGAATAAACAAGAATATATATCAGAAAAACAAAAAAAAAGAGGAGGGAGAATTGCCGTAGGACAGTACAGACTGATAAGTAACAGACTGACTTTAGTAGACATAAAATACGTTATATTAGATAATTGTAATACAAAAAAGCAGTTCCTAACTTATACTTAGAAAACCAGGTACAACGTACACAAGTTCCAAATGATAAAATTTCGATAGATAGTATATAAACAAGGCAGAGAATAAGGTGAAAGTCATTGTACACACTTAGACTAGAATAAGAATTAGCAAGTAAAGTGTCAAAAAGCCTTTATTGTACAAAACAGAAAATACATAAAAGAATAATACATAGTAAGAAATAGCTTTAGTTAAGCATAACAGAAAAACAGCGTTGAAATTCGCGGTAGCTCAGAATAATTCAAAAGAAAACAATTCCAAATAAATAAAGCGAGCTTGCTAATGATGTAACGTATTTCAAGTCATCTATATACACAACATACGAGACAATAACGTCCCAGATAGCACCGGACGTCCCATGGACGTCCATTTTATGTCCAGTTTACGTCCAAACGTCCAACGTCCGTTGTCGGACGTCCTTAGGACGTCCATGGAACCTAAATTTTGTACGTCCCAGGGATGTCCGCTCTGAACTTTCTAGATTTAGGGAAAAATACTTTTTTTTAAACAAAATAAATATTATTAATATTCTTTATAATATAATATTTATTCAATATGTAGAACAGAATATTTTTTTTCCGAATATAAAATACACTATTTACAATTGTAAATTAATTAATATTATTATCCCAGATAGCACCGGACGTCCCATGGACGTACAGAGAACGTACAGAAAACGTTCTGGGAATGTCCAGCACCGGACGTACAATGGACGTACATAAGACGTTCCTGTTCCTGTGCTATCTGGGTATACAATCATTATTTAATATTCGCAACAGAATATTTTTTTCCGTAGATAAAACATATTTATCTAATATTCGCAACAGAATATATGTTTGAACATGTAAAACAAGATGTTTATTCAATATTAGGAATACAATATTTTTTGTACATATGAGATGTGATATGTATATAATATTTGGAACTATTCAGAATTACCTAGTAAATTAATTCTTCTAACTTTTCAAAAAAAAGTTCAAGTCATTTAGACCAATTTCAAAAGAAGGAATTGTATTTGAAAAAGTATCCGAATATTAATGCGAGTCACTATATAAGCCTAAAATATGAGTCGGTTTAGCAAAGCCGTTCATGACTAAGTGAGGAAGCAAGTTGCGGTTGTAGTTCGAAAATGTGAGTTCGAATCCCGCCGGAGGTAAATAAAAATTAAAAGATTTTGTTGTTCGTGGTTTTTCATGGAATCCAGTTACAAGAAATATATACAGTTAACTAAAATCTACCAACAAATAAAAGAAAATATATAAAATTAAAATTTAATTTTTTTTTAAATCTCAATTTTACAGAGAACGTTCTGGGAATGTCCACATCGGACGTCCCAGGGACGTCCTGCGATGTAACTGGGACGTTCCAGGGACGTTCACAGGACGTTTACAGGTTGTGTAGGGGACGTTTGGACGTTATCTGGACGTCCATAGGGCGTCCCAAACGTCCAGTACCGGATGTTTTATGGACGTACATAAGACGTCCCTGTGCTATGTGGGGTGTAATACACCTGTGATACTAAAAGTACATTTTCTTTTTTTTTTTAAACATAATGATAAGCGTTTATTAACATTACGAATTCAGAGTCTAACAGTATTACAGGTCGTTGGGCGTACATATATAGTTTAATAAGAAAGTATCAATACGTAACACATAAGCTGTAGATATTTTACTCTTGTTAAAAGATTACAAATTGTAACTTGTAAGCAGATATGCGCATATATATATTTTTTTTTATATAAGAAATTTATAAAAAAGCACAAAATGTAAGAAAAACATCATGTTTTATTTATGGAAAAGGATTACAAGTTGTAACAAAAATGTAGAAAGATTGGTGCATTTGTCTAGAGATAATCGGACGCACCTCAAATAAAGAAAATTGAACTCGAACTGAAGGTTGTGGCATCTAGCGGGCACGGGGGGGAACTACATTGTAATCTCTTCGAACGAGGATCCTCATATAATTGCGATCGAACTTCGCTCGTCTACTACATTATAATAAATATCAATATTGTTCATTCACAATTACGTCACAATTTGTGGTCATACTTCCAGACATGTGTTCATAACCCAGTCATTAAATAATAAACACTTATTGCCTGTTTAAAGTAAGGATGAATAAATATAAACCAATAGGCTGCAATAGGTTGTAAATGTAATCAGCTTGTATGGTGATTTGCTTCGTATTGTTATAGTATTAATATTAAATTAATTACATATCTTTAAAAGTAACGAAAATATTATGTGAATAAATAGTAATGAGCACAAATTCTATTGCATTCGAATCTATTTGGAAAAGAAACCCCTAACCAACACGATCCTGACGCAGCACGTGATTTTCTTAACATGCATTCCTCTACATCGAATGTACGATATAAGATTATGTATTATATTTTTAGTCACAGACATGTTACGAGCCAGGGCAATAGCGACGCGCGTGTGAGCCCAGCGAGTGGGATAGATTTGAGAATTGAACCAATACGATTAATTATTGTGTATCAATGGTGCCGAAGGCTGAGGATAGATTAGACAATGCAGACGCCTCCGACGTTAAGTCAGATAGTTGCAGGAATTGGTATCTCCCAGTAAAGGGTAACCGTTTTTTTTTTTTTTTTGTACGTGAGGAAATGCGTTTACGCACGCCCCCTCATAAGGAGGGGGTAGTGTGAGACTCGCCCCTTGATTTGATATCAAGGGGAATACCCACTACAACCTCACGGTGGCCGGCCACGGCGCATTGGGGAGGGGCACCGGGATCTCTTACGAACGCTACCGGTGCCCCCCCTCCCCCCCCGCGCCGCTCCCCCCCAACGAAGAGAGGAGTGCCATCTCCGGTGGGGAGTGAATACCTCCTCACCTGACCGCGGGTGCCACAGCCCCCGGTCTCGCCTGTCCCTTTTAGTCGCCTCTTACGACAAGCAGGGATTACTGTAGGCGTATTCTGTTCCCCGACCCACAGGGAAATATGCCGCTATGGGGCCAACGGCCCCCCGCGGCGCAAGCGCCGGGCATGTTCCAAAGAAGTAGGGGGGCGTCGGGTGACGAACCCCCCCCTCCATGTCCGGCGTCCCTGCTGGCAGTCGGCGAGCCCAAAGCTTGAGCTCGCCGGCTACGTGTGCAGGGCCGCCCTACGCGGCAGACTGCCAGGAGGAGGTGAGGGTTTACGGGGGGAGACCAGTCCCCCCTGCGGCAGCCCTGTGACCCTATGGGCGTCGTAGTACGCATGTAGTACTGCAAAACCATTTTGGCTTTTTTCAGAATGGGTGTTTGTTTTCGATGTACAATAAAAGCATCTAGCAAGGTTCGTTGAATATATTGATAGAGTATTAGGTTGTAACGCTGCTTGACCCCGGGTACGAATCCCGATTGATGTATTTTCTTTTAATTTCAATTTTCTATCAGAAATATACTTTTTAGATATCATGTACTATATACTGCATATTATATATTACCTTACGCATATTTTAAGGTTAAAATTAATTTTTTAACGTAACATATCATGCCGGAATACCTACTTGCTGTAGGTGAGTAAGTCTTTACAACGATTTTTATGTTTGGTCGTTAGTTTATTTCGTTTTATCGTGACAGTCACATGAAGGAAGGTTTGAAAGTTTGAAAATGGATAGTGATTCTTTGCGTGCAAGCTGTTTTGAAGAAATAGTTATCGATAGCAGAGAATCCAAGCGTAAAGAGGACAGAATGTGTGTAATGTTTTCTCTTTCTCTGGCGTGTGTATTCTCCGGAATACTACTGTTAGTTGTACATGTATATGTTCCATTCGTTCGATTTTACTAGTGTTAAAATGAAAAAGCATGTTATCTTCTATCATTCTCCAAAGTATAACACCCGTGCTCGAGCGATCACTTTATAGTTTGCCGCTACACCGAACCCCCTGTTTTGTCTACGGGTTCCTCCTCGTCACACTCGAGAACGGTCAAGCCGAATATACCATAACTGTTTCGAAACTCGCCAGTCCCGATCGAGTTACTTATTTCGAGACATTGCTGTACTTGTTTCTATTTGTATAATGAATTTCAATACATATATTTATCTCTATTCTACATAGATATGTTTGATACGCATCATGGCTATCAAAAAATCGAGTACATAAAACATTCATTCGATGTATATGGTGATTAAAAATTTTGTTTCCACTGCTTTTTCGAAAATTATCACCCAAGTTCATCTACATCATAATGGAAATTGTTTGTTTTAAAAAATATATCCGAACATTAGTTATAAATAAGTCATATTTAACGAATGTATTTTTAAAAAAAAGTGAAAAAAAAAGAATAGTGTAAGAATGTTTCAACGGGACTCGAACTCGCGACAGAGGAATTATTATGTTGATGTGTTACTGACTATGTCGAATTCACAGAGTCGCTTATAATTCACCAAGTAAGCAGCAAAAATAACTTCAATGTTGAATATCTCGTAAAGTTTACGACGTAAACTATAAATCGTTTATCCCCAAAACTGAATATCATTCGCTTCAGTTTTCCACTGTGCAAAGGCTCATCAAAAAATTAGCGTCATATCTGGGCCCGTCCCTTGTCAGTCTCTCTTTCTTCTTCATCAAACTGTCTCTTTCTATTTCGTCGACGCCTTCGAACTTTGGACGGATTCGAAGCTGATCGAAACATTTGGTTACACATACGATGTATGTAGGTATAATAACCAGCTAAGTTTACATGCGGCTCCAGCCGAGCGCGAACATAGAAAGAGACAGAGAGAGGAGAGAGAGGAGAGAGAGAGAGAGAGAGAGAGAGAGAGAGAGAGAGAGAGATCCAAGGCACGAAGCTAGGAACCAAAACATATCGGCGGGCGCGAGACAATACTAATGTAACAATAAAACTTTTTTATTTATTAATTTTTTTAAATCAAACTTTTTCCAATGTATTTATAAGATTTTTATGATTACAATGAGACCAAACACGATATACATACAGAGAAACAGGAAAGTATTCGGCTATTTGTTTGTATTTTATATTTCATATTACCTCTTATATCAAAATTTTTTTTTTATAAATTATACAAAATGTTCGGCAACCGAACAAAGTATAAAATAAGAATAAAAAAAATACACAGCAGCTTGGGATCGAACTAGCGATATCTTATGTACGATACTACGATCAGTGATACCAGCCAGGCCAAGTTTTTTCGCCCATGTACTGCCAGAATGACCGTCAACAGTGTCGTATCCAGGGTAACAGGTGTGGGATACTATGGCTATTGTGGCTATGAGCGCGAAATCATGAATATATTTGTCCTTATTATTTATATATTGTCTATAATTATATATTGTCTTTATATATTGTCCTACATTTGTCCATAAATCATGAATATATTTGTAAAATTATGCAGGGTTAATGAAGATACACCTTTTTAGTCGTGCGTATACTTCATTGATGCTATGTTCGCTGCGCGTGCGCGAAAAAACCCGGCTCGATACGATACCTGCGAACCAAGTCGAAAAGCGTGTTTAGATGGTCGACACGGTAACAGAAAGGAAGACGACGACAGCGCTGCGGTGGAAAGCACGATATTGAGACAGCCATGTTGGCATATGAATCGTCTCAATCGTAGCGACACAACCAATGTAATTTTATGAGGCGAGGAAGCAACCTTTTTGGCTGATTTTTTGTTCAAACTGTTCCTTGTAAAATGCTGTTGCGGAGGACAGTTACAGATTTTTGGAAAAAGACCCACAAAAAATGTCTTGTCTTTAAACGTAATTTAAGAACGTTTCAAAAGCGAATTGCAAAATGTGTAACTGTCCCCCGCAACGGTATTTTATAAGGAACAGTTTAAAAAAAGAATCAGCCGGAAAGATCGCTTCCTCGCCTCATAAAATTACAATAACTGTTTGGAAAATTGCAAACGTTTGACATCATTCTGTCTTTGTCTCTCCTCCGATTGATGTATCTCCCTCTCTGTCACAGCATCATTAGAGAGACAAGGATCTATCTATCCTTGTCCCAGAGCTTCCTACTTTCTCCGCAACTGTCAGTGAAGTCAACTCAGAGTTTTGCTGGGTCTCCTGCGCACCCTTAACGCATTGAATTAACGAACCGCCACGTACATTGTTAAAACATTTAACGTGGGTGATCAAGCGTGGGAAAGTCGAAAGTCAGGAGAGAAAAGGGAACGTTCGCTGAAAATACTTGATAGATTCATTATAGGCCGTGTCGAATCGCCGTTTCCGTTGGAATACATTTCTTTATAATTCGAGTCGAGTTAGCTTTTGTTCCAGCTCGTAAGATCCTTGAAAATAACAGATTCGCACTGTACCTCGGTTCGCGTTTCCGGCGACTTCTTCAAGAGGTACTAAATTTCCTTAAGGGTTGCTGTATCTCGCTGGCACGTTTTCTCTCTCTCTAGACCTCCGCGTTTTCCCTTTTCACATGTAGTCCTGCACAAACATGGCCACGCGACTCCCACCTCCACCCGACTTGGGGGTGGATCCAAGATTGATGAAGATCACCGATAGAAGGAATAGGGCGCAACCCCGATTGGACCAGGACAACCCGAAGGGAGGATCGGGAATCTTCCGGAGAAGGGAGAGAAGCAGCAGATCGAGCGAGGATTTTTCCAGAGAGATCAATCTTAATCGAACCTCTGGTAACGAACTACGAAACGATTTAAACCGAACGAGTCGACTGAATAAACGTCTTTGCTTTTTCCTAAAAGTATTTCGAATTTTTATTTCACGCGCCTCTCCGGGCAGAGCGGTTCAGCGCTCCACGGGCACCATACCCACGTCAGAAAATTCCCTATCACCGCACGACGCGTTCCGCAACACGTAATAATAAAATATCAGAAACAGAATTAAATTCCAAATTTATACTTCTTGAATGTTTTACAATTTCAACTGGTAAACTTAGTAATACAAACCAAATACTAGAAAAGCAATATTTAGATATCCATTTTTATTTAATTCAATTCGTTGACATGTTGAATAAAAGAAATGTTTATAGAACATTTCGAATGACATACATTTTATATGCAAAAATGTGTAGCAACATCAATGATACAATTACAGGTATTTAAATTTGAAAATTTAGAAATGAAAATTGACAATAATGAAAGTAAATTTTTAATATACTTAATTGGAAACGTGACTGAATGAAAAGTGACACATTTGCAGAGAGCCTGAGAGAGCCGTGACCCATGAGGCCACTAACAGGGTTTACGAAGGTTTAAAAATAGTTAAATAGTTGGTAATGAAGTACCAAATAGTTTATCTAGCATTACAACTACGAAATTGTTTGTACACCATTTTCTACTGTTAAAATACAAAAGTGGTTTGTGCATCTCATTCACGATAATTTCGAAATATGGCTTCAAAAGTTACACTGTCCCAGGCTCTGGGTACAGATGGAAGTGATTTTAATCACAGACAAAAAATCGCTAGTCAGTATCAAATCAGGTAATTAAAGCACAATAAAACGAACATTTAATTTCAACTTTTTTTTAAATATAAATCATTGGACACCATCTATAATAATATTTTGAGATTGAAAATTTCTATTATATGTATTAGGAATTAAAAATAAATCGCTGCACATCTGTTGTTTGTTTATTATTAGTATTAAACATGTCTCCCTTTTAGCGCAACAAATAAATCAAGACTGAAATATTGCATATTTTTTCACTATCTTCTTTTCTTCGTTATGCTTGCCAAATTATCGGCTGATATCTTAGATCATCTGGACATATTTATTTTGGAAATCGAGGAGTTACAAGTACCCCAGGTAAATTGATAGATATTTATATATGTATACACATACATTTTTTTTAAATTAGAGAATAATTAACAAGTTAATGTGATTTTTCATTGTAGCCTCTTTGGTGGGAATATATATGGTGCAGTAGTTTGATGTTGAGTTTCCTTGCATTATCTGCCATTAAAAGAAATAGAATTAAAACACTACAACAGTATATGGTGGGAATTATTTTATTAGGATATGGTCCACTGTTTTATGCAGTTGTATATTACTTCAAGGATGTATGGAAATACCTTACGGTCGGCAAATCAGAGGAGATCCATTTTTGGCAGGTATGATTTCTTAAAACGAGAAGTAATACATCTGGATGAAATATTTATAAAATTTATGAGAATTGAACATTTTAGGGTCTACCATACGGCTTACTGTGGTATGCGTTTATTCTCTTGGCATCACAGGTTCATATATTCTCCTTGTACTTCTCTTGGAATCTTTTAGTAGCTTGGAAAACACGAGGAAGCAAAAAAGTCGATTAATTAAACCACAAAATTTATGGAAATTTTAAGCATATCTGTCAATATTGTTGATTATACATACTTTTATTTGTAACAAATGAAGATACACTTAACTACTTTCTTGAAGAAAATTACAGTTGTGGAAGTAATACTGGTGATGTGTAAATATGTGTATATATATGTGTTGATGTACATTATATAAATATACACAAATTATGAAGTATATATTTTATGACACGTCTTAAAAAAATTAAATTTTTAAAAAATAAAAAAATTATTGACATCTAATGATATTACAAAAGATACTAAAATTTCAAATGGAAAAAGAAATTTTTTTGTGAAATTTTCTATTTACTAGCTGTACAGTATCTAAAAAATGCTACTTATTAATCTAAAAAAGTTTCCTATAATTAATAGACTTCGAAAAGGTGGAGATTATTCAATTTAGCATGTATATATGTATATATATATATATTTTTTATGTTCAGATTGAAACTTCTTGCATCTAGTAGGGCATCGCTGGTACTTGATCCCATAAAAAAACATAAAAAAACTTTTTATTTCAAAAATAGTACTATTTCACGTATGTTAAACCTGAAATTGAAGAAACCCCTTACATTTTGCTGTAGGACAGGTTTTCGCGATGATACATTTGCAAAAATTTACGAATTTTTTTATTGTTTGTAACTATTGTTATTGTAAAATTCCTATTTTTTATATGAAATTCGGCAAGTAGTTAACCGATCGAGATGGAACCTTCTATATATGGACCGTTTATTTTGAAAGTGTTGTAAGTCTATTTTCTCTTGTTCCGAGAAAATTAAAGGTTAACATATCTGTTAATTAAAAAATTTAGACAAATTATATGAAGTCTGGCTATGTTTCTACTGTTTTATTAATATGTAATTTGGTTATATAAATTTGTTTTAGGCGTATTTTACTAAACTGATGTATACTTACGGACTGCAAATGGACTTACATCACTTTCAAAATTAGACAATTGTAAAAATCGTTTAATTTCAATTTTGAAAAATCGAATATCACTTAAAATATACTTCATATTAATCCAATTTTGTTTACCAAAAATGATACGACATAAAATAAAATTAGTACTTTTAATTTTAGACGACAATTACATTGTTAAAATTACAGGATATTGATGGTATTTACTTATGCTCTGCATGTGGCAGTGTTTCGAAATATGCATGATGCACCGGAGGTATATAAGGTAACTGCTATATAAGTAAGGTATATAAGTAACTGCTTGATGTATTTATATTTTTCATAAGTAACTGGCATCATGGTTCAAAGGCCCCAGGGCGATTTTTTCAAATTTTAGCGAACTTCGAGGACGTGTAGGTAATATATTTATAGTTTTAAATTCTTTGACCTTCATCGATGTTTTATATAAAATAGTGCACTTCTAAGAAACCTCATCCAACATATTTGCAACCAATTTACCTGTTCTCCATTAGTGTTTTTTCTTATTCCAGTCAACCATACCCCAAAACCAAACCTTTTTCCTTCCATTATTTCTCTCTGGCCTGTCCATATATTTTTTTCCTTTTAAATTGTCCCTGTGTTTCTAGATTCCTGTCATTCCTTTTCCATAGTGAAATTTCTCTGTTAACCCTAAAGTCTCTTATTGCTATTTTGGTTTCTTCTTTCGGGTTACCATTTAGTCCTTTTTTCGCTGCCTAATCCGCTCCATGGTGTGTACGTTCCTCCAATGTTTTCTTGTTCGACTAGACATAGCTATAGCTTCTGTCGTGTATATTGTTGCTTTATTCGAAATACTATAGGAGTAGTTCTCCCATGTATTGTCTATGTTAATTACTACTCCAATGCCGTTGGCTCTAGCTCCTTCTTTCTTGGATCCATCAGTATATATCCATATTATATTTTTTTCATTTCATTTTTGAGGTCTTCCTCTGGGGTATGTATATCTCTTCTTGACAAACCAGCTCTCCAAGATATTCTATTTTCTGTTAGTTGGTTATAACTGTTTCTTATACTGGTATTATTTCCTACTTCGTCTATCCATTTATAGAAATATTGATCTTCTTTTTCTATAGTTTTGTAGGCTATTTCAAATCTTTGAACTGTCCTTTTGTTCGAGTACTTATATTTTATGGCGTTTTTTTATTGTTTCCCATATTCTCATATTTCCTCTTTCCTTTAATTTGTACATATATCTGTACGTTAGTAGTTCCACTCTTGTTCCTAGTTCCATTACCCCTGTTTCCATATACATCACGTTAAGTATGTTGCCAATAGTGAGTAAACTCATCGACAAACAACATAAAATAATTTTTATTATTTATCGTTGAAGGAGTAATAGGACCACACACATCAGAATGAACAATAAATAATGGCCTTTATATGTAGCTCTTATCTTTAGCATTATTAAATGGTAACCATGCTTGTTTACCGTTTATACAAGCTTCGCATATGTCATCATTCGGAATAACTTTATGTATTAATTCTATATCATCGACCATTTGTTTGTTCTTTAATTCTATGAATTTAGATCTTCCCATGTGGCCCAAACGTCTATGCCATAATTCATAATTATTGACTATGGTATTGTTTATTTGTGAATTGCTTAATCTTTTCATATTGAACTTAAAATCGACAGCAATTAAATTATTCAAGAGCTTACCAGTCATGATGATTATACCGTTTTTCGTTACTTTCACGCCATTTTTGTCAAACGTGATGCTCATCCCAGCCTGTTGCATCTTTCTCACAGATAATAAAGTGTATGGGACATCCTCGCAATATAAAACATCTTCTAAAACTCCTGCGATGCCTTTGTCACTGATGGCGTTTATGTTGCCTCTTTTCGTAGAATATATATATTCACCATTCTTTGGTACTGAAATCTGCAATAGTGGTTGCAACTCCTGATAATCTAAAAAGAATTTATCACTTTTAATGATATGATCGGAGGCTCCTGAATCTAAAAGAAAAGTGAGGCTATTTGTGGCCTCTAATTGGTAGTCCCCTGTCATAAATACAAAACTCGATGTGCCCGGTGTCTTTGACGATTCTTCTTGCGTTTGCACCGTCTGAATGGTTCTACTTTCTTAGTTGTGGTGAAGATTTTTTTTTATAATAGTAGCAATCTTTTATTTTGTGTCCTTTTCTTCCGCAGTGATGACACTTCAACTCGTACACTTTCTTTCCGGATTTAAATGATTGTTTTTGCGTTTTAAAATTTTTATTTTTCTATGGAGTTGAGGTTTTAGGATATGTTTTAAAGTTTCATTTATTATTATGCACTTAAAGCACTTTCGCACTAGTACCCGCACTTCCAATTTTTAATTTAACCTCGTGGTCCAATAATCGAGTTTTCACGAAAGCAATTGTTAAATTATCTTCCGATAATGTCTCTATAGCCGTTATTATGCCATCGTAAGCATTTGGGAGGGTTAGGAGCAAGTGAGACACTTTTATGTTGCTCCAGCCGCTGACAATTCAGTAATGAGGTCGTCAAACACTGCAAAATGTTTCACTAACGGTGTATCACCTTGTAATTTTAAAGATAATAATTTTTTTCTTAGAACCAGCTGGGTGGCTACACTCTTTCTTTCATATATGCAGTCCAATTCTTTAAAAATGTCTTTTGCCGTGCTACCAGGTTTGACAAAACCTAGAAAGGAATCTGACAAATGTTCTATGATTACGTTTTTCGCGATCTTTTCGGTTTTGATCCACTCAATACTTAACATATCTGGAGCTTCATTGTCTATAACTTGTATCACGTCTAATTCATTCATTAAACCGCGCACTCTAAGCTTCCAGACGCTGTACCGTTCGCCGTTGAAAGGTACAATGTTTCGTTTTGTTTTTAAATTTTCCATAGTTTTTTTTTTAATTACACTAACTTATTCAAAAAAGAATGTAACTAAATTTAGTAATAATGTTATTGTTTTCAGTTCACTAAAGTAGCACTTAAACACTATTTAACTATTAATTTATAGCTACTAAGTATTATCACTAACTATTACTAAACTATTATAACTAAACCACTTAAAAGTGTCACTTTTTATTTGAATAATAAACCGTGAAATAAATGATAAACGAGTCTCTTTATTTAATTTGAATTCTTCGTTTATTCCAACGGCTCGGAAGGACACGTTTACTGTTCGAGGAACGGCCGAGAACCAAACTGAAAATTCAGGCCTACGAGGAAGAGAAATCTAGCGTCCACTTAAAGAAAGAAAAGTCTGCCTGCGCTTTGTTTATTACCCTGACCTTCGACGACAAACAGTCAACGGTCGTCAGACCTGGTGGTGCCAGTCCGATACTCTGAACTTACACAGAAAAGGGCAGTGCCTCTCAACACTAGATTCATTTTTCTTGAAGTCAAATTATGTTTGTAATACAACAATATATTATCATTATATTACGACCTACATAATCGTATGCAGATTTGATATCTATTAGTGCAATGATCATATTGTTGTTGCTACCAATTGTCGCCTCTTCATCCATGGTTAATATTATTAGGTTGTCTAGTGTCGATCTGCCTTTTCTAAAGCCATTTTGGTCTTGGTCCATTACGTTGTTCTCCTCAGCCGATAGAGTAAATCTTCTATTTATGATCTGTTCTAGTGTTACGTACCAGATGTTGATCGTAGTGCGTGTCGCGTTTACCGCGGTGGAAGTGTTTACAAGAATGAGAAGAATTTGTAAGGAATTTGATGATTTTAAAGGCAGGATTCTCACGCCTGCTGAACTATCTCGAGCAATGATCGAGAGATAGGATAAGGATGAGGTCGATGAGGCTGTTCCTCCCGCTGCCGAGCAATATTGAAGTAGTTCGAAGGATGTAAGTGGTAAGGGCACGAGGTTCGTACTTCGTCCTCTACAGGACTTCGGTGGGCAACTTAATGAAAATTAATGTATGGAGGAATCAATTGTAATGGCACTATTGACGGAATTTAAATAGGAATGTACCCAAAAGTGGTTCTGGAGTGCGATGTAGCGGTTGAAGAATGGTAAAATGTCTCTCTCTCTCTCTCTCTGATTTTAAGTCAAAGTCACACTTTACCATCACACGTATACGAATATGAGCTAAGGCGGAGTGGAATATGAGCGCCGCCGAAATGACCCGGTGAGTTGCTCCGCACTATCGAGAATTTCCGAAAACTTTAACAATTTTTTACGCGAACACGGTTCGCGGTATGTCTCCGGTATGTGGCTCCTATGCAGCTTTTTGCCTACACCTCGAGTAGAATTTTTTAAAATCAAAAAATCTTTAATATTAAATTTCAACGTCGTAATGGATTTTGCAGACGGTTTCTTTTGCAAATGACCACCTATTCAGATGTGTACAGTAACCCCTGAAAGTGGTGACCATTAATTCTTTTACACACTGTACTAACATGGCCGCACGACTTCCATTTCCACCCAACCAGTGATGCCAGCTGGGACGCGTTTTTTCGCGCATGCGCGGCGAACATAGCATCAATCCTATCTAAAGATAGGGTAATATAAAAGTATAGACAATATATAAATAATAAAGACAAATATATTCATGATTTTACGCTCATAACCACAGCTATAGTCGTAGCACCTCTCTTGTTACCGTGGACACGACACTGTTAACTGTCACTCAAGCCACGCATGCACGAAGAAACGCGTCCCGGCTGCCATCACTGCACCCGACTTGGGGATGGATCCAAAATCGATGAAGATCACCGATAGACGGAGTAGGGCACAATCTCTGATTGAACTATGACGACCCGAAGGGAGGATCGAGAATCTTCCCACGGACCTGGTTGGTTGTCCAGTCGGGAGGGGAGGTGAACCTATGAGCAACAACCAGTTTGGGTTCCGGAGGGGGCGCTCAACGATAGACGCTTTAGAGCGTCTGCGTCTCCTCCGGGAGGCGGCTGTCGCTCGGGGCGGGGTGTTGATGGCAGTGTCGCTAGACATATCTAACGCCTTCAACTCCTTGCCCAGGTCGGAGGTGGTAGGGGCTTTGGAATTCTTCCGAGTGCCCACCTACCTCCGTGAGGTGATTAGGGACTATCTCTGCGTCAGAGAGGTGGTATACATAAGCCGGTGCGGTAACTTGCAGGTAAGGGAAACGCACCACGAGGTTTCGCAGGGTTCGGTCCTCGGACCGCTCCTGTGGAACCTGACGTATGATGCGGTGCTGTGGGCCGCACTCCCCCCGCCTACGGGTGTCATCTGCTATGCGAATGACAACCTGCTGTATGCCGAGGGGGAGGAGTGGAGGGGGGCCAGACATCTTGCCGAGTCCGCCCTCGACTGCGTGGTTGGACGAATACGGAGATTGGGGCTGGTAGTGGCTGCCGACAAGACCGAGGCAATCTGATTGTACGGATCACCTTGGTGTCGGAGGCCGCCCATTGGGGGATAACCTTTGGATTCGTGTTGTCGATACCTACGTCGAGGTCAGGCCCACAATAAAATATTTGGGCCTGATCATCGACAGCCGTGGGCGCTTTGACCAGCATTTCGGCCTCATGGCCCCCCGAATTGAGAGGACAGCTGCTGCATTACGGCGGCTGTTGCTAAATATCGGGGGGCCCGAGATACGTATCCGCCGCCTCTATACGTAGGTGGTGTGGTCCATTGCCCTTTATGGGGCCCCTGTGTGGTTCCGCGCGCTGGAGGCCAACCGGTGAAGTGTCGCACTCCTGAAGAGAGTGCGACGCCGGGTGGCCTTATGA